TACCTTTCGGATAAAAAATGAATTATCAAAATCGGTCCACTAGCGGCGGAGTTATGCCGTAACACACATAAAAAAAAAATAAAAAAAAAAACATACAGACGAATTGAGTACCTCCTTCTTTTGGGAAGTCGGTCAAAAATAGTTTTGTTCTTTATCAAAAGCTTAACTACCATGTCTTAAGTTTGTATTTGTATTCAATGCAATGAACAAACATAGAATTAAAACTAAATATGCAAATGGAATATAAAAGGTCTCCTAAGGTGGTCTAAATTCGATAACGAGCAAATTTCTTGCACCTTTTCAAATAATAACGAAGTGAGACGCTCCAGGTGGCCTTTCTTTGCCGCGCAACGAAGTGGGCCGAGGCCGAGGTGCATTGTTTACATAATCGACCAACGTATAGACAGTATATTTATTTTTATTGCACTATTTATTCTAGCGGAGGCAATTTAGACACTTCTATTCGTTTTGTAGCTCTTTCAATCCATTGCCTTGTAATTGAACGGCAGTTTGACATAAAATAAATGGTATTTTAAATTTAAGATTTGGGTTCCTTCCCGATTTGCCACTACGAATAATAGTCAGTGGTACGCGGCTCATTGCTGCTTTATTTTTTTCCCGTCATTTGCGCAATGCCTGCAATGTATTCTTTGCAAGTAACAAGGTAATTTTTTTTGTAAGCTTATCACCGCAGGTTTCCGCGACTGTACCTAAGCTTGTGGATATAACAATTATGCTTACGGGATATATTAATGCGGTCTTCATCGTAGTAGTCGAGGTGAGGCTGATCCTCTTCTTCTTCTAAGAGTGGCTGAGCGCGCAGCGCGGGGGGCGAGGGGGGCGCGGTGTGGGAGGTGCTGGGGGTCGTGAGAGTCGCGGGGGGCTTGGTGTCGGCGGGCAGTGCGCGCGCGCCGCTCACCGCCGCGAGCACGGCCGCCAGCGCCAGCGGCAGCACCGCCCCCATGCCGACATCACCGCGCCACCACGGCACAACACCTCCTGTACACACAATACACGTTAGCAAACACCCTGTACACCAAAATAACAAGATTACAATTGCATCCTCTACATATTAGTTACGACATGTGGGCCTTCAAGAAAAGAGTGTGCTTCTCTTTTCAAGACAGGCAACGTATTTGCGGTTCCTCTGACGTTGCGGATGTCCATGGGCGTCAGATCAAATAATATTAGACGATACGTTGCTCATTTACTCTCTTCTAGTATTAAGAAAATAAATACACCAAATTTGTAATAGTAAAATTTTTAAGCTTCGGTGCATAGGTTTGGAAATGAAATAACGCAAACTTTACAGTTACTATGTTAGGAATTTGTATGATGTATTTACCAATCCCTTAATACTGGACTTGTTACTTTGTCTGCGTATCCAGAAAGAATTCCCAGGGAAAAGTTAACATATTGATTTTCTACTTAACATCTTTCTTGCTACTGTGTTTGTACTGTTATTGGTAGTAGCATGTGCGAAAAACCATTCTATAGCCAAATTTACCATAAGAAACATAATTTATGTCATTTACTAGACTATCTTGTAGAATTTTTTAGAAAAGTCATGATATGCGAGTCTAACGTTATTACTATATTCAAAATGTTTGCAAATTCTATTTGCTTACGAAATAAAAGCAACATAAACTGAAATGTTTGCGCAATAATGTTTTGTTCTTAGTTGTTACAATGTACTTTTTATAGAATAAATGTTTGTTACTTCTAAGACACGAGTAAAAATTTTTAAAAAAATTATTGCAATGATATTGAATTTCAAACGCGGTGACATTTGAACAAGAAAGTTATAAAGAGAGTTCAGATATGACGGCTGATAGAGATGTACTACAATATGGCGACACTCCGTAAACTACAAGATAAAAAACAATTGAACGATTTCTTTCAGTTGTTTTCATTGATATCGTATATGAAAAAAATCAAGACGTAATTTGTATTCAAAGTAAATGTTAGAACTTTTTAGATTTACCCGCATACGTCCAATATCTGCGGTTAACACTCAATTCGTTACAATATTCAACGCACGTGGCCCTTCACTGAGAAAGTCGTAAACCTTCTTCGATAAATTTCCATTCAGCGGACAGCACCGAAGTTTTTGGTTACGCAATAAAACGTAGATTTTGATTATATTTGATTCTATTTTGTTAGAGAAAAACATTTGAACAAACGGCAAACGCATTTTTCTCAGCGTATACGTTAAATGTTTATTTTTAAAGCCTATAAAGCGGGTCGGGACAAACTTTTAAAAACAACAATATAATGTGGGCTTGCTAGTGTGAACATTTATATGTTCACACAAAGAGCTATGCTCGTGGCGTTACAACTTTCAAACTTTAAAGTTGTGAATACACAGTTTAACAGATAATATTTATAAATAATGATAGCAGAAATAAAAATAATGGCGCCACAAACATACGCACATTTATCGCTTACCATTTCCGTTATTGTTATTGTTAAACAATAAACTAACACTATTCAAGCAAAATTCTTATGTCCTTAATACATTTGCAATACAACAAAAATTGTACACATCCATTTTCGTGTTTTGGAATTTCCTCCATTTTGTCTTAATTTTTTTTTTTCTATTCTGTTGAAATGTCCATTCAGCCAGTAACATATATTGTAACATTTTTAATAACAAATTATTATTTTACCGTTGGTTCTTATATAAATGTTTATTGTTAATATAAATGCAGTTTTACTTTTTTTAATAAACAGAACTTTATTATAACGTTGTTCAGCGCCATCTGTTGGTTGATTACTGCTTACCACTTATAAAATTTTTAAAATGTTCCGATTCAATGTTGTAAAATTTTTATTTACTAAATTAAAATATCGTGATACGTTAATATCAATGTGTACGATCTGCTTTGTAATTAACTAGCTGTTGCTCGCGACTTCGTTTGCGTGAAATTAAAAAATAATACGAAATGTAGCCTATTTTAGTTACAGATAATTTACCTATGTATTGGTGAAAAATATTTTAAAATCGGCCCCGTAGTTTTTACAATATCTCTCTCTTTACAATATTAGTATAGATATCGAAATATGTGCGTTAGAAATATATTTCCAAAACTGTAGAGTTAACAATAAAACTCTAAAAGTATACGAATTCATATTTTGTTCAAGTATTTGAACGATGGTGATTTCTTGCTTGAAATATGAGTTTTACGATGTTTGCATGTGAATAATCATTTTACCATAAAAACGAGTTATGATCGCATTTGTTGTAAAACAATAAAACGCTATCAACAAGTTGCCGTGTTTTTGTTTACTGTTTAAAACGAAATAAAGCTTCTATCGTATATTGAATGTAGGAGCTATTTTAGTAATCTATTTGCTATCTAGAATACAACTTCATAATATTAGACACAAGGTTACTAGGCCATGTTAATTGAAAAGTCGAATGCCACGGAAAAGTTTGTTTTGAAGGCTTTGTTTTGCTGCCTAGAATTGTTTTACCCGCAGAGTATTCAACCTATATTTGTTCTTGTGCTAAAAACAAGGATGAAACTTCAATATATTCACTTCATTTATTGATTGACAGTGGGACATAGAATATATACATCTTTCATACTTTTGAAATCTAATCTTTAAAAGAACGATTTTTATACTCAAGCAAAAAAATTACATAAAAAGCAAAATTAGAATTGGTTAAGATATTGCTAGGGTGGACCTAAAACTTATTCGTTTCCTGTCTTACAATAAATTTTTGTATCTGTCATCTCCCCTGCCTTATCCTTCTCCCGTAGGGCGCACCGGGTTTTCGTCCTCCAAATAGCTCTATCATCCGTCATCTCAGTCATCACTCCCTTCTTGATCATGTCACCTGTCACGCAATCCAAACATCTCTTTCTAGGTCTACCTCTAGCGATGTACCCCTCCATATTCATAAATTTTTGTATCTGTATTAACCATTAATCTATTTCGTAGATAACAAAGAATGGATTTCCCTATTTAAATTAATTTATTCATTACATTAAAATAGATAAGCTACTTTATATAAGTTAACGCAAACGTTAGCTAAGCGCTTTAAGTTCGTGACAAACTTTATTAATCTGATAAAAATACACGGGTTTTCCCACACTATAATGGTCATGGTAGAAAAATTAACACGCTTAAGTTTGTATAATTTATTTCTCTGTAATCTAAAATATTACTGACTAGCTGTTGCTACGACTGCACTCGCATGCAATAAAAAAAATGAATAAACATATATTACTCATTGATAACGTAGCTTTGTAAAGGTGTAGGATTTTTTGAAATCGGTACAGCAGTTTTTGAGTTATATCAATACATACAAAAATTAAAAAAAAATCGAAAATACAAATGTTTCCTCTATATAATATGAGTATAGATCAGTTTTAATATAATATACGTATTCGACTGGTATGTATGTAATAAGGTAATAACACTAGCTTTCGCTTGTGTGTAGCCTATGTGTTCTTCCAGACTATGCTGTACATCTATGTCGAATTCCGTCGAAATCCGTTCAGTCCTTTTGGTGGACAAACATCTATCCATATTAATTTTAATCATACTTCATATTAATATTATAAATGTGAAAATTTAGATGGACGGATTGATGGATGTTTGTTAGAGTTTGCAGCCCAAACGGCTGAACGGATCTCGATGAAATTTGGCATAGATGTAGAGGATAGTCTGGAAGAACACATAGACTACACGCTTTTGTTTTTTTTAAATTCTACGTGGTCGGAGTCGCGGACGGAAGCAGCCATATTAAGATTAACTTGTAATTATATGTATTACAATTTACAAACGTACTTATTTATCGCGTAATGTTGAGCGCTAACCCATATGTGAATAATTTAAAGTTCGGATTTCTGAAGTGCGTGTATTTAAACTCAATGCAGTAGAAGGTAAAAATGTAACCCAGTTACGTTTACTTTTAAAACATTTTGTGTGAATAATATTAACGACGTATGTAAATAATTATTTCTACGGACATAGTTTTAAAATATCTATCAAACAAACAATGTTACTTCTTACTAATATCATAAATGTAAAAGTTTAGATGGATGGATGTTTGTTAGTTTGTAATCTAAACGGCTGAACGGATCTTGATGAAATTTGGCATAGACGTAAAGCATAGTCTGGAAGAACATATAGGCTATTTACTTTTTTTTTAATTCTATGCTGACGAAGTCGTGGGTGAAAGCTAGTAGATGCATAAATCCAACAAATTTAAATTGTTTTATTATTTATTAAATTATTTTATTGCGACTGTTTGTAACCTAAACAGACGTTGTAATTTTATAAGTGAAGTCATATCACACGAATCAAGTATACATTTTACTAAGACAAATTTTATAGAAGCCTTTTGTCCTTATCACTCTCTAAGAAACAAAACCGACTTCCAAACAAAATACACGAAAAACAAAACAAAATGCACTAAAAACAAAACAAAATACACCAAAAACAAAATATTCTC